TATATATATATATATATATATATATATATATATATATATATATATATATATATATATATATATATATACACGCACCCACCGCAAGCGCGCCGGCGGGCAAACAGTGTGTGTGTATGTGTGTGTGTGTGTGCGTACGTATGCAATTGAACGTAACACATTGTCGCGAGTGCTATAACCTAACTTAACCTAAACTAACATAAACTGTTATGTCACTCGCAACAATGTTTTACGTTCAGTTGCATATGCACGCACGCTCACACAACACACACACACACACACACACACACACACACACACTGCCCGCCCGCGCGTTCGCCCGCCGGCCCGAGTGGGCGGCCAAGCAATGTGTGTGTGTGTATGCAACTGAACGTAAAGGCAGATCTACATTGGTCGTATTGCAAAATCGTAGCATCGTAATGCTCGTGAGTAATACAAAAGTATATATTTTTAATGAGTAAAAGTATGACTACTTTTTGTGCTATATATATTTTTAAGTAATACGACTCTAGCTTGTCGTTGATTGATTGATCGTAGCAATCGTAGTGTCGTTGAAGTTTGGGTTTGACCAAACTTCCACGACGACCCATCACGACGAATCGCACGACGCTTACGACGCTTGCGACGCTATGATACGACCAATGTAGATCGGCCTTAACATACGGCTTCCAAATTTTCAACATGCATTTGTATGAATTTCTCAATGTAACACACGATTCCTTGCTTTTTTAAAGGAAAAATATATGAAATATATGAACAAATACTTTATTGATGAATTGGTGTGATAGAAATATTTTTCGCACGCACGCACGCACGCACGCACGCGCGCATAATTAATATACTTTTTTTTGTGAATAACTTTTTAACAATGAGCGCCAGTTAAAACCTCTTGAATGTTACTCAGAGTAGTAGCAGACATCTTCCTAACCTAAAAATTCGATGTTTTGTATATACGATGTCCAAAAATTCGATGTTTTGTATATACGGTGTCCAAAAATTACATCCATTCTATGCAACTTCCTTTGTTAATAATTTTTTAACGAACAACGACCGACGGCTAAAACTTCTTGAATGTTTCAGGAGGTCCTTGACAATATAATGTGTCCTTGATAATATAAATTAAGGTCAAGATGATGTCGGAGGTGGGTCCCCTAAATCTCACTATTATCAAATATTTGACCAAAAATATTGACACTGCAAAATGAACGAAGAATTACACGTTATGGTGAAGCTTCGAGGGTTAGCATGGCTGCAGAGTTATTAAGAGAAGACACAAATATATGTATAAGTAAGTGAAGGACTCTTAAAATAACTGATTTTAATTAAAAAAGATGAGTGCATTATCACGCAAAATCGTGCAGTAATCTTCTTTAATTAATAATTAAAAATCTATGTGATTATTTGAAAAATGGTAGAGGACTTTTTTGTTCAATTTGACTTAAAGTATAAGTACACGACGGCAGTTGTCGCTACTGTCATTTACCATATTCTGCATTATCATTTACAAGTTTTCTACAATTAATATCTCGATAATTATTGCGAATATCGCAAAATGGTATAGGACTTTTACGTTCACTTCAACCTGTTTTACGTTTCCACAAAATGTCCGGAGGAGAGTGTGAGACACCCTGTATATAACAAATAGTAAAACATGGAGGTGGATCCATAATGCTTTGTGGATGTTTAACAGCATTTGGTGTTGGTTTACTTCATCGAATAAATGGCATTATGAATCAGTTCATATACAAGGATATTTTACAAGAGCATCTCTTAGATACTGTTGAAAATATGCCATTTGAAGAGACAGATGTAATTTTCATGCATGACCGAGATCCTAAGCACACAGCTAAAAGTGTGGAAAATTGGCTCAAAACTAAACAATTTTTTGTTTTGGATTGACGCGCAAAGCCTCGACTTTAACCCCATAGAGAATCTATTAAAAAGACGGATGAGAGAATCATACCAACCGAGACTTCCAACTAAGATCCCTTCGATCATGGAATTGTATAGTAGAATCCAAGAACAATGGGAACAAATATCTCCAGATTATTGCAAAACGTTGATAGAGAGTATGCTGAGGCGAATTAATGCAGTTTTACAAGCGAAAGGATTGTGGACAAAATATATTGTGGATCTAAATAATGTATCAAGAAATGCTAATTATTGAACGTGATGCAAAACCGAATCAAGATATTTTTTTGATGAACAAGAAGACATTATTCATTGAAAAATTTCTTTATGTTATTTCTAACTATGATGAAAACAAATATTTATATTTTTATATTACTCAGTTTTATTAACAATAAATGATGATTTATACAAATCTTGTAGTTATTGATTCAGTTATGCTCCTTACTGTATTTACTGAACGAAAACTGAACTATAAATAGATAAAAACATTATCTAATTGATTAACAAGCAAGTTTACTATTCATAAAATGGACAGTTTTGTGCTAATAATATTCCATATTTTGTGCATGCTTGCTTATTGTACAATTATAAAGTTAATTAAAGTCATAGTACAGGAAATTTTTGGTGTGTAATTTATAATAAATATATTGTGTTAACCTTTAGAAGTCCGGAAAACCAATATTTTGGCGCACCAGAATAACTTGTTCAATTTTTGTTTTATTAAATATTCATTTTCTTAATATTATTAGCAATTTTTAATATTATTTAATGTAAATTTGCCCCCCCTCCCCACTCACCCCGTACCCCTAATTTTCATGTGAGACATTCTAAAATAAATACATGGCTTAATTCGCGTGCGGCTGCAATTATAAACAAATTTATTTTCATTTGGGGTTTTTGAAGTTGCTATTTATTAGTAAAACAATTTGGCAAAATTGTAAATAGCAGATCAAAAATATATTCATTGATTAGGCCTGCCCGTTTATCGTCGTCCGTCCTTGCCATACGTGAGAACGGCGCGTAAGAGCACCTGTCGCCTCGCGTTCTCTGTTAGGTCAGGCTCGAGATACACTTATTTTTTCACTTGTGTTGATACAACATTTTCCGTTACTTTCTATCTTCCTCGTACTTTATTACTTTTGCTATACAATGAATACAGGTGATGACGAAGCTTGGAGTAGTGGAGAGTCAGAGCCTGAAGAAGATGTTATTACAGACAGAACTATTGCATGTGATGTCGATTTACTTGATAACGAACGTGATGAGAATATACCAGATGTACACTATGATCCTTATTTTTACCCATCTATAAAAACTTTTACTGGTGAAGCACATATTCGTGATCACGTGTCTCTAGACGAACCTACTCCATTAGAATGTTTGAAATATTTTTTTTATACATTTCTTGTAAATTTGATTGTAGAACAAACCAATCTTTTTCAAGAACAAAAACAATCAAAAATAAAAAAAAATAAAAAAATAAAAAAAAAGAAAAATAATTCTGCCACAGCCGGTCCCAATCCCGTGTTCAAAAGAAGAGGGTGTTTCGAAATCATACGTGATGAAAGGGGTAGTTTTTGTAATATTATATTATAGGGGTTATGTCCAGGTGTATTGTATTTTTGACATTGGATTTTGACTCTACATCGAAAAATACATCGGAAACATATATCTGCACTTTCAAATAAAAA